AGGCCACCACACACTCCCCCAGTCAACGAATCTGCGAAACAAGGTATGCAAGTCCAGCCATGCCCCTTGAAAAAGCTGGCCCTGCGTCACTAGTGGAAGCAGGCCGCGTCAACTTCGCCGGCAGTGCCACCTGTTGCAGTACATGCCCGTAATAATTACTGCATGATCCAACATGCGTTCGTATTAGTCCGGGAATATCGCCAGACGCGATAAACCCCAATAGTGAATAACGGCCGTACATCCGCACTTGCAAATGGCAGAAGAAAGTTCTTCGCCAACTTTAAAATTCTAGAATTATTTAGCTTGTATATCCGCAAAATTTACAGTTGTTAACATGAACGCACGCCCTCGACCTGCGACAAATGCCTCGGCGCCCACTCCGTCCGCCTCACCCCCCACTTTCCTCTGCAGCCACCGCGAGCCGTTTAGCGCCAGCGCCGCCCCATCCCTCCCCGGCAAACAACCTTCCAATCAGGAGTCTAAGGCGACAGGAACACTCTTTCAGGAACACTGGTACTGGCAAGCACTGAAGCCGCTGGAGCCCAATATTGCCTTTTCCCGGAAAACGGTTCAGGACCTACCCCAAAATTGTCCACCCCTCCACCACTCTACAAGCGCAAACGCCACCGCCATTCCCCGCCCAACGCTCCTACCAGGAAAAACGGAACAAGATTTCGTGCTGCGCTGTGCCATTTTTCCAGTCAGGCATTTCCCCCTCCACCCTGGGCCAGCTGGCCCCCCTTCCGCCCTCCGGCCCATGCTACCCCTCCTCCTTTTTATCCCCGCCCCCCTGCCCCTCCTCCGCGGCCCCTATGGTGTTCACGAACGTCTCCTCCGCCACGAACAGGAACTGCTCCACCAGGCTGGCGAAGCGCCGGAAGGCCGGTCCGCTGCACCGCGAGTAGCTGGCGAACCTCCCCGACAGGCCCTGGAATTCCCAGAACGCCCGGTCCATCTTGTTGAGGCAGGTGACGCGGTTGGCGGCGCGCACGCCGAACTGGAAGAAGTCCTCCAGGGCGGTGGCCAGGGTGCCCAGGATGCTGACGATGATGGAGGCGTTGGCCAGGGCGGTGGACGTCACGCCGGACGTCTCGCTGACGGAGCTGACGAAGACGGGCACCAGGACGCCGCAGAGGACCTTCACCAGGCCGATGGTCCTGGGAGGGGAGGGGCGGACTTTAGCGACGCGTGTGATTGGCGAATTGAGGATTGCCTGATGGCTACCATTACCGGGCGTGAAGGTCATGAAGGTGTCGTGAAGGTGATGAAGGGTACTAGGGACCCAAAAACATATTATTAATATAATAAATAATAAAATAATTTAATTAAAATTTAATCACCCTAAACAAGAAACATGACCTTCGTGACGTCAATGACCTTCATGACCATGTAAATTCAGGTAAATTGCGGTTTATGGATCTCAGCTCGTGAGGAAGTATTTCGTCGTGGGGCACGATCGGCTTCCGCTCGGATGCCGAGGAGAGCGCTTATAAGAAGTTCTTTCGCAGGCGGATAGCGTTCAGTAGGGAGCTGGGCTTCAGTGCATTGGGAGAGATTTTTGACTTGGGAACATTGTGGAAATTCTGAATGAAATCTTATTCGCGCCGACCGCCCGGGTGCTGGGATGCCGACAGCGATCACTCGACGCGGGTTGGCCAAGCGCCTTTCAGCATCCAGGGAAGGGAGTGAAGAAGACACATGGAATGTTAGATTTTTTTTTCTGGTGTTGCTCAAGTACCACCCAGCAACACGTTTGCTCGAGCGGACTTTAAAGGGTGGAATGTCAGAGGACTGCTCGAAGAGATTGCGCATCGTTAGCCAAAATAACCAAGAAACTGTCAAGACTGCGCAAATTGGCTCGTTCCCCATTTTGAATACTGATTCCACGAATCATTCCCGATTTTCAGACGATTGCACTGTTTACACTTCGCCAATATTTAGGTAAATTATGTTTTTATCCCACGAATTGTCGCTGCATTAGAACCGTTGATATCGCTTAATATGACATCCACATTTGCCCTCGATTTGTCACTGTTTCCAGTCATCTTGCACTGTTTGAACGTGGCAAAAAACTCCATGGAGCGAGATCCTTGGGCCAGCGTCCGCTTGGTTTGTGAAAGCGGCACGCTGCCACTGGCAGAAGGCTGCCGTTTTCATGCGCTTTCTGACTGCGTTCGAATTGTGTTCACTGATCCCACACAGCGTCTTTGGTGCTTAAACCGCCGTAAACTGAGACACGATCGCGTTCTCCTAACCCTACTCCTTACGGCATTTCCTCTAGTTTACCTGAACGCCCTGGCGTGCCGCCTGGATTTGTACTTCTGGTCGTTCCTGGCCTTGAGCCACCGCGTCAGCAGGAAGTTCTTCTCCATGGGCGTGAGGTGCATCCGGGAGATGACCTCGTCCACGCCGAAGATCTGGATGCTCCCCGTGGCGGCGCCGGGGTCCAGCGGCAGCCCCATGAAGAACCGCCCCATGTCGCGGATCCTCCTGTAGTGCCGGACGGGCACGCGGTCTATGTACGAGGGCCTGAATTCGCCCATCTCGCTCAGCAGGCCGTGGTCGGGGTCGGCCGAGGCGAGGTCGTCGGGCTTCATGGGGCGCAGCGGAGAAACCCTTTAGTGCGCGGGCGGCCTGGCAGGGGCGGCTCATGACTGGAGGACGCCACACATTGGGGTGACCGTGGGCGGCGGGCACTGGTAAAAATTCGGCCATTTTACACGGTGTACAATTGGACAAAATCGTGCTAATGTCGTGTACAAATCGGGTGCTTCAGAGCGCGGCCTTACACGATTGCTATAATCGTGTAGTTTTCAACCCTGTGTAGTACACGAAAGTGGTCCACCTTACCGCCATGGACAACACGACAAAGCGCACGGTTTTACACGAATTCAACAGTGTACCAGCGGCAAATGTGTATTTTGTGGTTAGTACACGGTCGGTACACGATGGTCACACGACTTTTACACCATTTTGACATATGCAACACGGTGCACGATTTTCTGGACCGTGTACTTTGGCCGGTTTTTCATCAGTGGGGGTGGCGTCATTTTGACGGCTCGACAAGTCATCCACATGGTAGAAGAGAAAAGGTCATCCACATGGCAGAAGAGAAAAGGTCATCCACATGGGGGGGTGCGCCCGAAAATCAGGAAAGGTGCCAACGGGCATGGGAAGGTCGATCAGGGATTCCAGAATGGGTTTCCGGCGGGCTGGCCGTGCACACGCAGGTTTTGACGTTGGAAGTGGATGCTCAGGCGGCGTGAATGGGGCCCCAGTTCGGGGGGGCAGGCTGCGCTGTAAATGGTCATGGGGAATGGCGCAGGGCGGGGGCGCTTGTGCGCACGCCATCCTCTGGTCGCATCGACGATTGACAACACGGCGGGAGAATGTGGATGCAGTGCGGGGCGGGCGACAGTTCTTGTCAATCTGCAACATCAGCAGCTGGCGTGCAGCCAACAGATCGCTGACAAACACCAAAGCAAATGCCCGCTCAATTGCCGCATTGCTAGTTGTCTTCTCTGACATGCGTGCACGGTGTTAGGTACTAGAAGCCCGTGAAACACACCATATAAATTCTCCCATTCCAGAATTTCATATTTCATATGAATGGAATGGGAAACTTGCATGCATTCAAGAGCCCAAGTGCAGCCCCGCCCTTCAGATCGATTTGGCTCGCGTCCGCCAAGGAGGCGACCACCATGTCCTTGCTTTAGCCCCAACATGTGTTCACCCTTTGCCGATTTTCCGATGCGGCTTCTGGTTTCACTCACTTCGACGTCCACCTGGTGCATGAACGCGTCCAGCCCTCGGTCCTCCACGGCCGCCACCTCCGTCGTGATGAGGCCGTCGCCCAGCGGGTTGCTGAACACGCTGCGCGGCTGGCTCATGCTCGGCACGTCCACCTCGTGCAGCCCCTGCTCCGGCACCACGGACGTCCCCGCGCCGTCCCCAACACGGGCCTCCTGGTCGCAGGTGGGCGAGCAGGATGGGATGGCGTTCGGATTGGTAAGCGTCATGGCCTCCACCTCGTCCATCGCGCCGGCCCCCCGGGGCCCTTCCTCCGAAGGACTGGCGGCAGCTTCCTGCCCGCTGCGGGCCGAATCCCCAGCAGCTTCCGCCCCCTGCTCCCCCGCGGCTCCCCCGTGCCGCTGTGGGTCAGTGCCCTCCAGCTGGGACAGGTCTGAGGCGGCACAGGCGGGCTTCAGCGACCGGGCGTCCGCCGCATGGCCGGAAGCCCCTGTGCGCAATTTCCCCCGCAGCCACAAAATCGGCGGGCGACAGCGCCCCCCGCTGTGGCGCCTCGGGCCCAAGACGTATTTATCCAAAATGCACGTCGAAATACGCATTGACAAACCTTGTCGCCGCTCTCCTCCCCTCCCCGCGCCCCTGACTTTGGGCCGACTGAACAACCCCACTCCGGCGCTGCTTGTTTTGAGGGGGCCGCGCTGCGGGCGCATCGTTACGTTACGCTCGGGCGCGGGTTACGGGGCTCGGCACCTGCGCTCGCGACCTTCCAGATGGTGGAATACGGCAATTCCATGCGTGGGAGTCCGCCCTGGGCCGTGCCGGACGGATTGCCGTTCCGCGTCCCCGGGCAGCCGGCGATGTCGGGGGCAGGGCGGCGAGGCGAGCGCTGTTGGGCGGTTGGGAATACCCCCGGAAAAACGCACAAGGGAAGTGCGCAGGCCGAGCAGTTAGTCAGGGGGCCGGAGTCACCATCGATTCATTTGCCCGTGGCTGGCTTGTGCCCAAAGTGAACGAACATCCTTACGGGCGACGTGGAAAATCGACACGCTGGTCATGTCGGGTGTCGCTGTAGAACGCAGGCAGTCGAACAGCGTCCCTCTGCTAGCGGTCTGTACATGCGATGACCTCGCAATAATTGGCAGTTTTTGCCCAAGTGCTGAATCCGTCTCGGTCAGTGCTGGGTGTGTGTGTGTGTGTGTGCGTGTGTGTGCTGTCGGCTTGCGGGGCCGTCGTTCTCCGCGACGGGGGGCATGGAGGACGCTGAGGGTGCCCCGGACGAGCTTCGTGGGACCCAGGGCGACGCGGGTGCGTAGTTTTGGGCGCGTTTGAGGGTGGTCCCGGTCTTTTCCTTGTAGGAGTTCGCGCCATCTGAGCGTCCAGATGCGCGAAACGGGCCGCGCTCCTCTAGTGGCGCGAACGTGGCCTTGGCGACCAGTCCTGGTGCCCATTTCCCGGCGCCCCGTGGCCTCTGCTCAAATCCTGGAGACCGGCGATCCGCTTGTCCCCGCGATGGGATAGTTGCTCACAAAGCACTGGAGACAAAGAAGGCCCCACGGCAATCAAGGGATCAGGAAAACGACAGGCAGCCGTGCCTTGTGCATTGGGCACCTGCGCCCGGGGTCTAGAAATTGATGGCGAACGTGGGTGCGTCGCGGCGCAGGTGAACCGGGCGGTGCGTCTCCTGCGTCGGACGGTGATTGCCGCGACGATCGGGAGGCGGGCGCGGAGGTCCTCGGGGCGTCGCTGGCGGGCTTGAGGCCGGCGGCGTGCGACGCAGACGTGCCGGAGAGCCTGTCGTGCGAGCAGCTGCTGCGCCGGAGGGCCAAGGCGGTTGAGGATCTTCACAGGGCTTACAAGGCAGGTGCCGAATTTCTGGGAAAGGGGGTTGGGTGGGCTAAGGTATGTGACAAAACGGAAGAGTAACAGGTCATACAAAGGGGAGGTCCTCCTAAGCGAGTGTGCGTGAGAGTCTTTTTCGTACTGTGAGAAGATGATGCAGAGTCTCTAGTGCAGCAAGAGGAGGACACTCCGGAAGCACCGCAAAGAGCAAGAAAACATGCAATCAGGGACCGGGGTTGGGGTGGTAGGGTGGGGTGGGGGAGCAACTGCAGTGGACAAGGGGGGTGACCAGCGAGTTTGGTGCAAAGCAGGAGGGATCCCTTCTGACCCCTGACGGAGGGGAACAGTGTTGTGACTGCGATTGGCAGCGCCTGTGCTGGCCCAGTCCAGACATGAGAGGACTGCAGGCAGTTGTTGCCCGCTGGACTCTCTGCAAAGGATATGGGAGAGGGGAACAGGGGACAGCAGCAGGGGTCGTATCCCAGCCCTTGTCGCTGTGTACACCTTTGTTGGCGCACTGCTATTGTTTCCAACGATACCATGGGTTTTCAAGTGAATGCATGCATCCACAGGGCACGTCCGCTTACCAAAGGGCTGTTTTTGAGGAAGCGGGTCCTCAGGCGTTTGATGGCAGGAACCTGTGCTCTAGCAGCAGCAACAACACGTCATATTGGCTGTACTACAGATGTGTGGCTACCATGGTCGTGCATTCGCTGGGGCATTCTGCAGCACGTGGCCTTGCCTCAGGGGTGTACTGATTCGCTTGGCCATGTGCCTGAGACTCTGTATATGGGTCCTGCTGCACCGAAAACAAAGCTGATCCTTTGTGGCTTCATGTGTGCCAAGGTGGAGTACTGGGGACTTCTCGAAGAGCTGAATGCACTGTATCACAAGCTTGGACAGCAACAGCTGGGACCCAACGAGCCAGAAAAGGCAGCCACCTTCACATCTGTGCGCGAGGGGCTGATGGAAAGGAGAGCACAAGCCACAGGCAGAGCCAGTCCCGTTTCGGCGTCGGCGAACGGTGATTGTGCTCAGCGAGACACGGAAATGGGGGAGGTTACTGACAACAAAGAGCCAGAGCAAGGTGTCGTCACTCTTCAAATTTGGCGATGAGGCCCTATAGGCATCTCAATTGGCTTTCGTCACTGTTTCTAACATCTGTCTGTATTTCAAGGGTGCTGTCCCCAACAGTTTGGTGAGCCCGCTATTACACTCAGTTTGGGAGATGCCTGTGGAACATGACATGGTTTGGAGCTCTTTCAAGCACCTTCAGTCGCCCTGTGTACTCTTAATATTCAATGCAAGGGACTTTAAGAGCTGAGGGGTGAAGGTGGCAGAAGTGTATGTGCCAGAAGTAAAATGCCCATGTTGAGCTTGTCTATTTTGGATATTTGTTTGTGGCACATCACAGGGCTGCCACTGGTACCGAAACGTTTCATGAACATTGGGGCGCATGCACACATGACCATGTTGTGGATAAATTATGCGGACTTCTTGTACTTCAGACATCTGCACGTTGCCACCCTGCTATTCTGCCCTTCAGCTTGATCGCAACAGATTGGCTATGTCAGCAGCACCCACGTTTGAATTCTACGTAAGTGGCCAGTGTTGGTACCTCCCCTACAGCACCCACGGCCATCTGTACCTAACACATCCCCAACTGCTCGATGCCATGCCCACAGTCGACTGTTTTCGCGGCTACGGCAGCGATGATGACCCCCCTTCATTTTCGGAGGCGAAGGACCTCATAATGGCCCAGGCACCATGTCCCAAGGACGGGGGTCCACCCTCCCTCCCACACCTGCCTACCTGGCGATCAGCCTTCAAACAGCAGCTGCACAGCATCGCCAGGATGGAGTCGTTGGCATCCAGCGCCACATCCCGTGAGCTGGACGAGCTGTCTGCCCTGGCAATGCTGGTGTGCCGCAGGTAGACCCCTGCAGACACCTTGTGTCAATCATGTGAGGGGTGTGGATTTAAGCATGCTGGGTCGAATATTATGTGACCCGCAGTTGTGAGAACTTGCTGGGAATGTCAGGCTTGCATCAGGCTTGTTGCTTTTGTCAGGCCTGGACTCAAACACTCCTGTAGGATGTCGTTGTGGCAGTTTTGTTCGACACCATTTGTACGAGGTCAACATTTGGTTGGTTGACATGCACAGTTGCCAGCAAAACGGCAAAAGGTAGTTCTTCCACATCATTGTTCCGCTGCCATCAATCCACCAGTCCACTTTCGCACTGCATCATGTCCAGGACGTGTAGCGCTCTAATACGGCAACTGTTATCGTTCAGCACTCGTTCCAGTTGCACCTGGAGGCCTCGTGCACGCAGATAATGCTCTGGAGGGTGCGCAATGCATGCCGTGCTGTCACATTGCCACACTGTCTTCTTGCTCAGAACAGTTTGTGCAACTCAGGGGCAGGTACCTGGTGAGGAGGCCCGCTGTCAGCCTGGGGAGGGGCCATTCCAAGGGCGGACAGGCTGGCAGGGTCAGGGTGGACGTCGACCTGAGGAAGGCAGGCGTTGGTGGAAAGGCGTCACACCTGCAGGCCAAGCTGTGGCTGAAGACTGACGGGACGTTTTATATCCACTGTGTGGGCCAGAGGAAGATGTTCGTCGATGGGTTCGTGGTGAGTGCCAAATCTACTCCTGGCATGGTAGTAGTTGCTTGACAGGCCTCTGCTGTGGCACTTGCAACAGGTTTCCTGCTCACAGTGCCAGTAGATCTTGATGTTGGGATCGAATGCACCCCAGTTGTGTGGCCCTGGGCGCTATGTGTGGCAGTTTTGGATGCATGCGTCAACCAGCTGTCGGGGTTGCATTCGCCTGGTGCCTCTCCCTGCCTCCGACTTGATGCAGAACCAGTGCTGTGCTGAAGAATCGAACAACGAAATGCACGAGCATTGGCTGAGTGACCCTGAAGTCTGTGGAGGTGTGTGCCGGTGAAGCATTCCTGAGGTGATGAATAGCATCGTCCTTGCCCTTGAAACAGGTTGCTTTGGTGTGTGTGCGTGTGGCTCTAGATGCGGCAAAATGCAGTCCGGCGCCTCTGTCACTTGAGCCTACTGGAGATCGGGGATGTTCCACTCCTATTCATGATCAACCATGGTGCAGTATTGAGGCTGATGGACAGAACGAGCAGGCGCCTCAATGTGTGACGCCACGGAACCATCCATTGATCCTTTGGTTTCGCATAGATAGCTGCCCATTCTCGCAGGGAATGGAATACAGCACATAGGAAGGGTGGAATGTATGTTGTTAGCTTCTAGGTGTGTAAGTGTTCACAAGTTTGACAAGGTAATACTGCATTGTGAGTTGGAGACACTTGGGCTGGGAGAGGGCTGGCTCTGGCAATTTTGTGGTGCCCATTCCAGTGGAGTTCCTGATTGCCTACTCTTCGGGTGCCCGCCTTGCTCATCTGGGCACCAACCCTGCAAGGCACTGCTGCCCCTTCGCATGTCTTTTCTCGTTTGATCATCTCTTGGTGCTGCTTCTGCAAGAATTGACTGTTGGCAGCTGTGGATGACACAACACTACATTTTTACACCAGTGCCAGGCACCTAAACATCAGGACGTCTGAATTAATGTACAGTACAAGAACACAGAATCACAAGACAGCGTCCATTGGACCCGGAGGCAACCAGCCCATCTGCCAAACATCAACCACCCGAGTGTGCATCCCCCTGATGGTCTGTTCATCAGCATCCCATCACAGGCCATCCTTTCTCTGTGTCATGCCTTTCCAAACTTTGGAAACGACTCTCTCAACGTCACTGTCCGGTTGACCACAAGCACGTCAGCGCTGGTGTCCCGGTCCACACAAAAGTATCCCAGCCTCTCGAACTGAAACCTGTCACCCACCTGTTAGCAGCAAGAACGCTAATGAAATCAGTTGAATAGCGATGCGGTTGAACCGTGTCACAGCTCGACAACATCACCATTGTGCTTTATTCGCTAATGGAGTGCACAGCAGGAGGATCTTGTGCCCGTCGCATTGCGCACGACGTCTGGCCAGCGCAAGTTTCACGTGCGGTTGTTGTTGGCGACCGCGCCACAAAGCGGTTGTGCAAAGGCAGCATGCCATTTGGCAGACTGACAAAGATCAGAGATATCATGGATGTTATGGATGGTATATCCACAAGATGAAGGGACATCCCCTTGCTATAGGCGCCGCACCTTGGCCTTCCTCAGCTCTGGACAGCCCATAGCCCCCTTCAGCGTTTCCTCCGATGCTTCGTTGAGGCCATCGCGCCAGGCGTCCCTGAGCTCAGACGGACTGGGGTCCTTGAAGAGGACGTCATACAACCTGGCTTCGATGCGCATGGGCCTCACTCCCGGTGCCGGCTGGCCAACCCAATTCAAGACGCCCTTTGGCGGCTTCTTGTTCTTCTGAGCGCTGTGGAACTCCGCGTCGTATGTGCACATCACCTGGGTGACGACCCCGTCGTCGTTCTTCTTGTGGTCAACATATTGCAGGGGGTATGCATACCTGGAGGCACCACATATGCACTCCTCAGCCCGTGCCAATGAGAGACAAAGCCCCCCTGACTGGGTGCTTGCGAGCCCCCTGACCTTGGAAGGCGAGAACGTGCTCTCTCAGCGTTTCATTTTCAATCCCGTAGCGCAATGAAGGGGTGGGGATATGACAGGCAGGCGATGGCATTCCTGCTGGACTGCTTGCCAAACTAGCCAGCTGCAGCACTCGCTGCCTGAAGGTCGCGCAGTGAGCGGGGAGAACAGCAAACTGGGTGCAGCGCATGGACCGTGACAACGGATCAGATGGCACGGTTCTGTTCCATAATGCCGCTGCCTGCACATTGAAAGAATTCGCTGCCCGGCATTCTCACACCACAAGAGGGGATGTGAATCAGCACAGCAATCACACACAGACGAAGCACACTGACAGTTGTCCAGACAAACCCAATCGATGTGCACCTTAGCATAATCGCCTTTCCAGGAGCCAGGCCGTAGTAGTCTTTGGAGTCCACTTCCCTGAAGTCCGTGGCTTCGATGTACACTATCTTGCTGAAAGGCACCTTGTAGGTATCTCCCTTGCGACCGGGAAATCTCTGGGCCACGACTTCCTCATAGTGGTCATCAGGCAGATTAGTGATGATCACCTGGGGAAATTCTGAAAGCTAAACCACAAGAATGCAACTGGGCAAGCCATGCAGGCAAGCAGTGGATAAGGGCACCTCAGCTGGCCTCCAGTCACCCAAACAGCAAGATGATGAGGCAAGCCCCAAACGCACATCAACTGGCCTCGAGAAAAAAGGTATCGACACCATCTACCCGGATCTGCTCAAGCCATGCTGACCATCCAGTGGGCAGTGACACACCAATCAATCTTTCCTGCTACTTGCGCCAAAACGAGAATAGGCGCTGCCCTTCACGTAGTTGGTGATGGGCCCTCTTCCGTTCACACTGTGTGTCCAGTACGCTTGTGCGTTTCCCAACAGACACATGTCGATGAAAAGCACCTGGAGCGGCCTGAGGACGGCCATGACCCTCGGGGATGCGGCATCAAGGTCCATCCGCACGTGGTGCTCCAGCCGGTGCACAGGGACCTCGTTGTCAGATCGAGTGATGCCCATCTCTCGGATAAAGGTGTTGATGGCAGCCGGCGTGTAGCCCCGCCTCCTGAGGCCCGAGATGGTATACATCCTGGGGTCGTCCCAGCCCCGGACATGGCCCTCGTCCACAAGGGCCTTCAGCTTGCGCTTGGACAGGACGTTGTGGGTGAGGTTCAGGCGAGAGTACTCCATCACGTGCGGCTTGTACAGACCCAACACTTCCAGAAGCCTGGGAGCACAGGGTGGGTGAGCAGTTTGAGGGGGGTGGGCAGCATGGCTGTCAGATAATGGTCAAATGCGGAGATCGGTAGTTGCCAGCAACAATTTCCAGGTTCTGTGGGCCACGGGTGAATGTGAAACACACAGCTGGCACCATTCGGCACGGCCATAAGGGCGCATTAAGAGTATGTAGCGTTATCAATTGCATCGAGCTCAGTTGTTACAAGTGCACTCATATTGATTCTAAACTGTACTGTGTACGATGCACTCATGTTGTTTTGCAAGCAGTACGCACAGTCACAATGCGAAAAGCCCCACAAAGCAATTCGCCAATTCGTTCGCTTGCATCTGGATGCACCTACAGTCATTGCACAGATGCAAGCAACATGAGAAATCATCCATGGTGATATACCGACCATCATCAACCAGATCGACAGGCATCAGCACACTGTACAAAGCAATCACATCAGGCGTTGCAGGCACAGTGGAGATCTGGCAGCAAGGGACAGATAGGACATCATAGAGAATTGTACCTCGTTCTAACCACTCACAATGGTAATCACTACATGTGGATCATCAGACCACTCATGCAACTGCATTGTGCCAAGAGTTCTGAACTGCCAGGAAACCACCGAGTTTCAAAATTTTCTCAAGTTGCGCATGCATTCTCAAATAGCCAATATTTGCTGCAAGCCCCAAATCGCCTCCGCTTGGAACCGGGCAGCACCGGCAGGCCTGCATGTGATACAACATGTCAGCAAAGGGAAAGGTACATGAGCACAAGCACATCGCACACAAACGCAGGTGCTCTGCACACTCAGTGCCCCCCGTCAGTGCTCACCAGTAGTAGGAGGCCCGCCTGGACTCGAATTCCAGGGTGCACAGCGAATGGCTGATGTTCTCCAAGGCGTCCACGATGCAGTGCGTGTAGTCGTAGGAGGGGTATATGCACCACTTGTCGCCTGCATGAGGATGCGGGGCGAACTTCACCCGGTAAGCTATCAGGTCGAACATGTTGTAGTTCTCATTCTTGTGGTCCATTCTCATGCGCAGAGTCGCAGCTCCCTCCTCCACAAGCCCGTTTTTCATGTCCTTGAAGAGCCTCAGCGACTCCTCGACTGGCCGGTCGCGCCAGGGGCTGGGTTGCCGCTCCTGGCGCGAATCCTTGATCTCATCGGCAGTCTGGTCGCCATGACACAAAAAGAAGTTAGCGCCGTTGTGGCAGTGCTGCAGTTGGACTGCGATGCGAGGGTGAGGGCTGGAAGGAGGCTGTCGTTCAGTGGGTGCCGCTGACATCACAACTGCTGCCAGATTCACGGCCACGCAGCAGGTCTGCCAGCTGTTCTGTCGTGGCTCTTGTGAAACTTTGCATCTCAACGTTCTGAAGAACTGCAACCAAAAAGATTTGGATGGAACATCTGTGGACACATCTGTCGGCATCGATGCAACGCCATCAACAAAGATGCACAACATTTAAATGGACAATCTGATATATTGAGCGTGGCATCAAAGCTAGAATCTGATCAGCCGTTGGGCAGTGACACCTCCAACAACATCAATCACAACATGTTGCACATGCAGGTCTCCACTTCAACAGACTCTGCAATCCCTCTGCCAGTAGTCTACGGATATCAGCCGAATGTGCTCAGTGTGCTCCACGAACCTGATGGCAGACATAAGCATGCCCAGATGAGATAAGCTTCAGTGCCAGCTCGTAAAGCTGATCAAAATAGTCACTGGAATAAGTCACCTGCAGCAGACAGCCAACAAGCTCTCAACGCTTCCAAATAGCCAAAGAGAAGCTGCAAAGTGTCTGCATACTGTTCCACCTCATTGCCGACAATGGCTTGCTGTTGTTGATGCACATCTTCCAACAGCAGGGAGGAGCTTTGCATCACTGCACACACCAAAGGAAACCCTGGTATGGGAGCTCAGCTGTGCAACACTAACTGTGTGGGTATCTGCTGCCTCAGCTTCTTCTGTCCTCAGCCCTGCAATTCCTTGCGCAAGCACTTTGCTGCTCCACAGCCTCCCAGCATTCGCATGCCTATATTTCCTCTCGCTATGGTGAACATTCCCAACCACCTATGTACTTGAGTGGCCTTCTACTGTAGGACCCGTTCGTTTCCAGGTGAAAGACAATTCTGCAGTCTATTTGCAACAGCCATTCACTTCATCCAACCACAAGCTAAGGTGCATTTGAGGCCTGCTGTCGTTGCAATCTGAAGGTGTGGGGAAAATGAAACTCTAGTTCCTTGGGCCACACTTCAATGAGCACAACATAAACTTCGACTGTCGAGAAGGCTCGCATGAGCCTGGGATAATACACTGCCCTTCATCATCTTAAAAGCATTCAAGTATGTTTGTCAACAGGAACAAATTTCACTCAAGTATTACATCAGAGAACTGCTGTCGTTTCTGCCCACCTTCCAGGGTGTCCAACCCATCCATCCAACGATCTCCTGTATGTGTTCAATGTACTCCATCTTTTCAGCTTCAGGATTGGTGTCGTCGAAGCGCAGAAAGCAGTGACCATCATACTGTGCCGCCATTCCAAAGTCCACAAACATAGCCTATTGGGAACATGAAACACAGATCAGTATGCTGGCACATCAGCATCAGTGTGGAGAGCAGCAGAGGAGTGAAGAAGCATGTGGACAGGACCCGCCACAGTTAGTGACCATGTTCAACGTGTGACTACGGATATTACTGCACTTTTCACAATCACCTGGGTCAGTGACCCGGTCCATGACCTCTTGCTAATGAGCCACACACCCACACTCAACCTACACACTTCAGACTCAACACTCCACACTCCACATTAACTTGAACTCAATTGGCAAATACAGGGTTACAGAAAGAGTCAAACCCGAATTCGCATGCCTTCAACCCTGTATAGTGTTGGAGCATCATGGAAAAGCACAAGTGGCGTAATGGCAACCCCAGCTGTCAGCTTGTGTCATCCACATTTCACCTTGCAGTGCCCGATGTGCAAGTAGCCATTGGGCTCTGGCGGAAAGCGTGTGATGACTTTGCCACCAGTTTCCGACAGATGAGCCCTCAGCTGCTCCTCAGTGTTGGACACATGCATCACCGTGCCATCACTGAAATTGACCGTTGTGTGGACCTGGTGGTTGTCCTCAGGCTTAGGCAAAAATGCAAATGGGTCTGCTGTGCGCCATGACTCTTCCTGATGCACAACAAGCAAGGGTCTTTGTTACTGCTAACGTATAGTAAGAGGTAGGATGTGAGATTTGTTACTACTAGCATGCTCCCAGAAAAAACAGGTCATTCAAAACAGGCAAGCGTAGTTCATGAGCATCTGTCGTTCATTGCATGCAGTACAATGCATGCGACCTTCTGCAGCACATTACACCACTGGAGACAAGGCAGCCAAGACAAAGGAGATCGCAAATGGTATTGGGGGCCCCGCAGTCGTTTCCCAAACACAGGGATCGCACTGGCCACCATTCCATTGGCCATTCCGGCCTTCAACACAACGTTTCACAGTATGACATCTCGACTGTCCAGGAAGCTGCGATCTTGCACAAACGTGCATTAGCACAACATTTCACTTGCACTGCTTTGAGCAAGCATACCTGCTGATTCAAACAAAAAGAGTTTCTCACTCGCTAGTGCAAAAATCAGGAAGCTGTGTATTAGCACAACATTTCACTTGCACTGCTTTGAGCAAGCATACCTGCTGATTCAAACAAAAAGAGTTTCTCACTCGCTAGTGCAAAAATCAGGAAGCTGTGTCTCAGTGTCTGATTGTGGGAACCAGGCAATACCAGGGCCCAACAACAGCACTGTCAGCAGATTGGCCATCGACGAGTGAAACAACAGCCCACTTACTTCGCTGGAGCCATTTTTTTGGCTGCTGTCCTCGTTGTTCTTCTCGCCATTCGTGCTCTTCTCTTTTGGAGCCTATAAAACACACAACACATGCGCATGAGGATGGTTATGTGTTCAGTTAACCCAGCCCTAATATCAAAGCGATGGCATAGAACAAATACTAAAATTGCCAAGGGCACTTCCCAGCCCACCTTGGCCTTCTTAGGCTTCTTCATCCCAGCCGCCTTCACATCTTCCTCGGTTTTGGGGCCAAGCAGATCTTCAACCTGTTGCTGAAATTCTGACCGAACACAGCCCCCATCTGCGAACTTAAGGGTCCGTGTTACCTGACCGATAAGCACATTCAAATTAAGCTGGTACCTGAAAGCCACACCAGCACTGGGTCACAGAGAGGCACTTGAAGCACAATGGAATGACCTGAACCAAGACATTTGCGGCGCAACAAAAGCTCAACCTTTAACGAAAGCAAAAACTAAGGGTCACTGGTGACCTTCCACCAGAGCAATATCGTCACCACTGGAGTGATTGTCAATCAACATCGCATTGCAGACCATAAATTCCCTGCAAAATTCTGCAAGTGCCACAGCGTTCTTCAAAACAAAGTTTTGGAACAAAATGTAAAGATCAATATGCAAAAATGGACTCTTCAAACCCCAGGACTGTTGACCATTTGTATGGCACCCATGCACTTGCCTCTCCTCTAGCAAGGTTTCCTTCTTCTCTTGAATGATTTGTGCCACTGCTGCCTTGATCTCCTCAACAGATACCTGAAAGGAAGCTCCAACAAGAGCTTGTCAATTAGCCAAGCTCCCTCACACTCTCAATGGACACAGTGGAACAGCAAGCACTTCGCGCACTGACATAATGTACTCCCATGTGCTTCCGATTGTGAATCTTTCCTCCAGCATAACTCACCACAACGCCAACGCCGCTTGCAGCCTCCAGTTCTGACAAGTCAAGGGACGCTGTCCCCAGAGACTTCAGGTAGTCCAGGGCGCCATCCAGCTGGGCATTTGTCTGGACAAGAGAAGGCACACGGAAGCCTGTGAAATGGGTGCGAGAAAAGATTGCTCCCAGTAGGTGCCACTGTGGTGTGGATCCAAGGCGAGCAGGAAGCAACAGTGGCCAATTCCACAGCACCAAATGATCTCAGTCAACAACAGCTATCGATGTGCTGTGCACACCTGCTTCATCTACTTGCGCAGCTTTCGGCCATGGACTCAGATATTGAAAATCGTGGACGTCGGCAGTCGCTGCTTGGTTTGTATGTGTCAAGGGCATCATGCAAGTAAACACGGCTCAAAATCAGGAGTACCTTGATTTTCTCCTCTTTGACGTATCGCGCCACCACCTTTCTGTGCTCCAAAGCCTTTGCAGGGCACTGCAGAGAGGAGAGGTTTGCGACGTGAGTTGCATATCGGCCTTTATAATAGCACGCACCAGGACCGCTTCTGCCCCAAACTGCACAGAGCTTCGCTATGCAAACGCCACCACCTCAACACCCTGATGCTGTCGCCAAAGGGCGAGTGCTGTCCCCTCGCATGCAAGATGCCTGAGGCCGCAACAGCCACACATGAACACCCCATCCAAACACGCTCCATGATGGGACGTCCCCCTCAGTGGGAAAGTGGCTTCCAATGTTGCTGTGACTCGAACAGGGGCCCAAAAGCAAATCAGCAAGGCCCTTTCTAGGAAGCTGCGCGACCGCTTTGAGAAAGTCAGAGGCAAAATCCACGCCGTCGCCCCGACGCCGGGGGTCCTTCCGCGGCCGCACCCAATTCAGCACCTTTGTCGCGACGCTGTTCAGCAAGGCGCCCATCGCCTTGGGGCACCCATCCTCCACGCCCGCCTCCGAGATCACCTCCAGCAGGGCCTGGCGCTTCTTGGCGTTCTTCACGCTGTCCCTAGAGACCGGCCGACAAAGATCCCCCTCCATTTCAGAAGAATCCAAAAAACGAACGAACTGGCAATCTAAGCGACCGCGGGCGAGACGCGTCTGTCAGCCTCGGCAAGCACAAGCGCCTCGCAGAGGCATCTGCTCAAGATTGGGTTTCCCAATGCGCGGCAATTGGCCCCTCCGCCCTGGAGGATCTTAGAATTGAAGTCCGGACGCAACAGCCACAAGATTCTCAACTCCCAGGGGGTGCCCACTTTGCGGTCGTCTCCGCAAGGCCGATCCCCAGGAATCTACGCAGGGCTTCCGCCTCTTGCTCCTCCCTGCTCGCCATGTTGCGGCCTGCGCCGTCCCGCACCGAAACCAGCACTGGGAGGAATGCGGCCCGTTCGCCTCGACCACCACTGTTTGACTGGTCTTGGGCCGCCTTCCGTGTCTGACATCCGCCCCCCTGCGCCTGTCTTAGTCCGCATTTGGGCCTAGAGAATTGGGCGCCGCCCCGAAGGTGGTCGGCAGTCGGCGTGCGTCTGACCCCGGTGCGAGGCCCCAAGTGTGCCGGTGCGCGCGAGAGCGTATGAGGTCAAAAGTAAAACAATGGTGGCCACTGGGGCGGGGTCCTGCTTGCGGTGTCGACAGCGTTGCTCTCGCCGATGGCCAGGGGTTGGCTTCCCCGGTGAGGAAAATGCCGTCGTCGAAGCTCAGCGTCAGGCACCGAGAAGTGTGGGTGTGACGACACCCGCAAGGCGTGGTGGCCGACGACTGTGTTCGCGCGCCCCAACCGCTGCTGCTGATTCCTCTTTGTGCTGTTCTGCAGCTCTGCGCCGCGGAGGGGGTGCGTGTGAGCGGGTGCTGCGCCCTTTGTACAGCGAGCGTTGAGGCCTGAGCGTGGCGCCGATTCCGATCGAAAGGGAGACGGCGGGATGGCCGCACTGGAGCATTGCCTGGCTGCGCTGGCAGCCCCTGGGTTCCGTTGCTCTATCAGATAGAAGCTCTGTGCTCCATCAGATGCACAGGCACGAGCATATACTTGGGGTTGACCTGATTCACCCTGCCTGATGCAGAGAGACGTCAGGTGCCACAGTCGGCAATCGCGCGTTGGAGTAGCAGCTGATCCTGGGGTAAGACTCTGTTGGCAAGAATTGCCGAAATCAGCAGCAAGGCAAATGGCCAGAGTGCAGAGACCAAATTCTTGGTGTTGCTTTCGGAAACGGGAACAGGTCGCGTTATCTCTGGATGACAAGGCGTACTCAGGCCAGTAGCGCAATCCACAAGCTGCCCACACGGCGCAGTGAACTGTGATTGTCTGCCAGCGGGGAACGACATCTGATGTGATGCAGCAGGTGGCCCTCACTTGACCACAATCCAGTAGTCCAGATAACAGGTCATGTGCATGTCTGCTTGCCTTCAGGATGCCCTAGAAAATGGTTTTGAGCTCCACACACAAAACAAACTGCAAGCATTGGACACCGAGTATCAACAACTATGTTGCCAAATGATTTCACGATGTACACCAACTCTGCATGCCCAACCCAACACACAAGAAAGAATATCTTCTACCCCTATGGCAACCCAGATGCGTGCCTTTGAACAAATCACTATTTGTCCACAGATATCAATACATGCTCATGGGGCGCTGTGCTTCAGCAAGTCATAATTGTGCCTTGGCTTGCTTCAGGAGTAGTTCTAGTGTTTCTCTCATGTGTTGAAGGTTGCGAGGAGAGCCACTCTTTGAGATCGCATTCCCTGAACAACAAACAGAACATCTGTTGTCCCCTCTTGCATGAGCCTCTCAAGCTCTGTGTTAGCAGCTATGCCCACCCCAACAGGGAGCCGCCAGCGACAACTCTTGAACGTACTGTATGCCAGTACCAGAAGAGCACTCTGTGCGGTGCGGTGACAGCAATGGTGTACAAATAAGATTGACTGCACCAATGGTTGCGCAATGCCTTGCTCGAGTTTATTAGGTATGGATGAATTCTCAGGTTCAGATACAAGAAATTCTCACTGCACTCATGCTGTCCACATACGATGACTTCAGTTCTATTGTCAGGGTTATGGAACTTGGGAGAATCGCCTTGCCCATTAAACACGTGTGAATTTCGCATCGTGTCAACTGATTGCAGACTTGCAGTGGAACATTTCGAAGAGCGACTGCGTCCAAGATGCCACAGGGTAGCACAGGAACGTGCAAGAGCTGCCATTTGGTCTGTTCGGGTAGCATGTGGATCGGCTTGGGTGACGTCCACGCGTGTTATGGTTTCAACTCAAAAGCAACAACATCCTTATGAGGCACAGAGCTTGCATGTACAAACGGACTGACAATGTGCAATGGCTGTGCTCCAGGAACGGCCCCTCAGATTGGCAGCAAAACGTTCATTGTTCAAAAAAAATTTTGGTTCCTTCTGCGACTATCGAGAGAAGACAAGGAGGTGTAAGAACGATCACTTGCTGATGACAATTTGCCGCATGTGGAAACAAAGCAGGTGGTTTGCATTCACCTCCGGGTTGCAACATCACCAGGCAGGGCACGTGCTCTATTCCGTAGTGAAGAATCTGCCAAAGCAAATGATCGGCGGTGAGCTCTGCTGGAAGAAACAGAAACACATCACCCCGCATTGAAGAACATGTCCACAGCAGGGGCTGGCTATCAACACCGATTGCGGGACACAGAGGTGAATTGTTCTTGCATAGATTAGTCTTTTGGTCAGATCGAGGCATTTGCGCCTGCAGGGCAATAACAGCCAGTTTGATCTGTGCAGCGTTCATCCCGAAAACGCGCAGGAGTGTCTCGAGCAGAAAACTGGGCTCGCACCCCGCTGAGAACTGCTGGGGGCTGAATCCCAAGAGGGAGGGGCGCGGGGTGGTCGTGGTGGGGGGAGGCATCGCCTAGCAGGCGACAGAGACACTGCCTTGCCTTAGTTTTGATCAGGGCGATCCCCTGGGGCAATAGGCCCAGGGCCTGGCTCGGTATTACGGGATTCCGTGAGACTCTCAGGATCCCTGGCGCACCCAATTTGGGCGCGAACGATGATCGCATCCGCCGCGAGCGCAACGCACGCGAGCATCGCGCACGGCGCTCCGGACCTCCGCAATCAAATCGACGGCGGCAAGCCGCGGCACCCCACCTCCGGCGCCCACTCCTGGTCGCTGTCCGTGCACACCCGCACCACCCGCATCCAATCCGCCTCGCAGGCCTCCGCCTCCTCAACACGACAGCACACACAAGTCTCAGACACCGGGCGCCATCGACGACCCCCTCCATTCGGCAAGCCCTCCCGAAGGAAAGCCCCGGATTGCCACCTCCGCCCCTTTCCCGCCCTTTTCCGCACAGGAAAGGCGCCGCGCCGGACCGCCGCACCTCGTCCACGACTGGCTGCAGCGCCCTGCACAGCCTGCAGTTCTTGGAGTAGAACAGCACCAGCGCGTGCCTGCCGCTGCCCAGGGCGCGCGCCAGGTGCGCCCGCTCCGCCCGGCTCGCCCCCCTGCGCGCCACCACCACAAAAATCAAAAACCAAGAAATCAATCGCACCGTTCGCCGACGGCTGGTCCCGCCAGGCACGCCGGCCTCGCGCGATCTGCTCTCCCCGCATCTGATAAGAGAAACAGCGCCGCGGTTCACCTTGCGGCGGCGGTCGTCGCGAGGTGGGTCAGGGGGTCCATCGCGGGTCAGGCGCTTGGGGTCCCCCGCCACCCTCCTTTGCCCCGGAACTAATGGCTGACTAACCGGCGGCGCGGGGTGTCGGAGGACAAACCGCCCCGGATGGGAAAACGCAACACTGCCCCCAGGAGGGAGAAAGGGGTCTGAGACTTGGGGCCCGGGGCGCGCTTTGTTGGGGTGGTGGACTTGGGAGCATGGAGAGGGAGCATTGGTCTCGGGGCTGCGGCACCGGCATCGGCCTGAGCCCGAACAAGAACTCGTACAGGTGTGTGCGCGCGCCCCCGGGGCGCTGCGTTGTCGTGGCGGGCATCCGATTAGGGCTGGGTACTCTCCCCAGGAATTAGAGCAGGAAAATGGAGCTGCCTGCGGCTGACTCTGCTGGCTTCAGTAGGTTTGCGCGCCTTGTCCCCTGGTGCCAATTTGGAAAGGGCTGCGCTGCTTGATGGGCATGTAGCGGCAGAAACTGGCGCCAGAGTTGGGCTCCCGTTGGGTGGATTTGCCTGCTGGAGCCAACATGGGAGGGGCGATGCCACCATGGGGCACCAAGCGATGCTGCGCACGCAATGTCTTGCCGGACGAGCACATGTACATTTGTCGACCGCTCATTAGATGTGGCACACAATGCACTGCGCTGCGTCCTTGCACCACTGCCAAATCCCTCTGGTTAAAGTGTGCTGTTTCTGTGCTGGAGCCGCACGTGTGTGGAGCTCATGCCTGGCATCTGGCGAGGACCGAGCGCGTTTGGAGTCCGTGCCCGTTGGCAGCCATCGCGCCCAGACCATGGGGCGAGCAATTGTTCTCTTTGATGCACTGTGGACAGCGATTTTATCGGCCACATTCCTTTGTTTCGCCAACAGTTTGGCCGCCAGCGTCCACACGCCTCGCTGGCCGCAAACGACCCCGCAACGCATGTGCATCAGCCCGATTTTTGGAGAGGCAATGAAATGCACGGCGCGAACACGATGCCCAGCCCTCGTTGCAAAAGCGCACGTGGTGGCCAACTTGCTGCGGCCGCTGGGGAGGGTGCTTCGCCGCTGCCTTCGCCGCTGTGCTATGTCAACACGGGGGGACGTACACACTAAATAGCCAGCGTTGGGTAGTTGCAATAGCTGGCCAATCCGGGTACCGTCCGACACCCAGCTGTGCCCGGGTAGTCAGCCGACCTACACAGTTTCGGGCAAGGGCGGGTGGTCGGGCAGCCGGACATTGAAAATCTCGTTCCCAGGTACCATCACCGGCTCCAATAGGGAAAGGACGCCCATGACGCCTGGGTATCGCAAAATCTCGAGAGAAATCGTTAATGGGGGTTATGATCGTGCATAAAGGCATTGTCCGACGTCCATATGTTTAGACAGTGCCGCTGAAAGTTGGGGATATGAGGCATTCAGTAGTTGAGTTGTTTAACCAAGTTCTTCATACCCCTCATCTCTGACGCACTTGCATGTGAGATTGCTGTGTGCCATCACAATGATGTAAAGTAGGGAGCAATGTTCTAGGTGCCGCATGTTTTCAAGTGGGTGACGTTTCTGGCCCCTTCTACAGGCTAGGAACATGCATTGGAAATTGGGTGGAAGATCTACGCAAGGTGGAGGACGCGAAGGCAGGCAGGCACGTCTTTGGATACGGAGGGCGCCTGGAGCCAATCAGCACGCAGAGGGCTTCGTACACACCCACTGTAATGAGTGATTGGGCCCGTTGGTCTATGGCTCCACGACCACTGCATACACGATTCCTTCCATGTTGCAAGTGGCGATGATTCTGTGGACGTGCTGTCCGAAAAAGATTTCGGACATGAAATTTTGCTGTTGTTTTTTTCCGACTCATTCAGATCATTGGCCATGTGTACACATGTGGCACATTCCCAAGGAAAGACGTTGCAATGTCTAGAGATTGAGTAGACCAGCAGTGCGCAAGGATCACAAGCCGCAGACATTCTTGCGATGGCGTCCACACCATCCGCACTGCAATTCAACTGCGCGAGGGGTATCTGGGAGCAGCCTTCGCATCACCCACCAAGCCGGCTCTGCTGGATTGTTGTTGATGTCACACCTGCTCCCTCCACACACACGCACAGACACACCAGCACAACCGCCGCCAGAGTCTCAGTGCTGCCGCAGCACTACTGCTGTAAGCTGTCATACACTGCCACTGGATTGAGGCCTCACACCCACTCACATCGCCACCGCGCAGGGCAAATTCGGCCCCGGCCTGGCCGACTTGTCGTGCAAGGACGCCGCCGGAAAGGTGGACCAATGCGTGCCGAGAGAGATACTATTCACGCACGGAGATCCCTACGAGCCGCCGGTTGAGTGCCACGCGACGCTCAACCCGCTGGTCTTCCGCAAGGAGGCTGAGGGCGTTCCCCCCAGGGTGCAGCAGTACCTGTGGTCGGGGTCCGTAGCCAACGACCGAAACGTGCCCTTGAGCGACAAGGGGCTCAGGCTGGTAGCGGCGAAGAGAGCGCAATGGGAAGAGGAAGGCTGGGACGCGTGCCCCACCACGACGTACAGGGTGAGGCGTGTGCTTGGGCTGACAGGCGCTTGGGAAGTCCTGAAGCGCGTCTCGTTTTGAGCTGTAAAACTTGTTCAAATTCCCCCAAACTGTCCCACAGTAACTTTTCACGGAAATAGCTTTCAAAGCTTCGAAGTGCCTTTCAGCGCACAACGGTATGTGTCCATTCTGAAGCTGTATTTTCTGGCAAGAACGTGCAGAGAACTTGAACGACCGCGCTGGGATCATGCGCATGGGAACTGCGCGAAGGGGGCATATGGCAAATGTTCAGTTTGCCTTGAAATTTCCATTGCTATTCATCAGTTGCGCTGCCACGGGGAGCGGGAAGCTCCCTGCGTTAGGGAGCGGAAAGCGGCCGCACCGGCGCAAATCTGGGACGCTGCGCTTCTCCGGCATACAAGCGTGCGTGCTCCCGTTTTCCTTAACTTTCGGGAATTCCCTTGGGTAGCCTTCGCCTGCATACATCTGCGCAAATGCTCGGGAACTACTGGGCAAATGGGCGCATTCCACTTGCGCGGTCCCAGTAGCCGCTGTTCTGAGTAGCTGCAGGATGCGATGAAGGCCAGAGCTACCCCAGGGATGCACGTATGTGTACAGTTGTGCGAATTATCGTGTACCAAGCAGTTGCAGGCAGCTGCACAGCATTAATTCACCGAGGAGCATATTCAGGGAAGCATTGGACAAAAGCACGAATTGCAAGTACTTAAAAGTGGCGTATTCAAACAGACAGTGTTACTGTTCCCTTTGAGTCTTGTGGGGAGTCTAGTTTAGGTCTGTATCCTGCACTGGACGGTCAACTTGCTGCGTTGAAGATGGTTGCCCATCTTTGGAGTTGTCATGGACGTCGCTGCCTGTTCGAAGCCATATGAATTCTCAAAATGGTAAAACGTCATTCTTTTCTGCAAATTCATTGTACTGAGAACACACACTGGGAGCAGCACCCAATGGAAGTTTTTCAAAGCACTTAAGTGAGAGACCAAGTGAGAGACCAGGCTTGGTATCTCATGCGAATTCGAGCGCGTTACTCTACCTCATACTCTTCGTATATTAGTAATGTGTTGTCGCCGTGCCTTCTTTGTGAATCATGTTGCGAGATTGCAGCCACTATTATAAAGTTACGAAGCATGCCAAGAACGCCGTACCCTCCAAGCAAACACGAAATTGAGCTCTCATATAAATGATTTGTAACTAATTAGGTACAGAGCACATATATTCGGTTTCAATTTTGAGTTTGCTCGAAGCTTCGCTCTAACAAGGCCACCTTAAAATTCACGTGCCGCAGGTATTCCCACGGGTGCTCAATATCGGGATATGTTTTCGACACATTTTCGGCAGAACATATACGCCCGAATTTTGTGCGTTAATCGTGTTTGAAAAATTGTTGCTTGGCCCTTCCTCCAAGGCACTGTGGTAGCAACTTGCACATGAATCAGTGGCAAATGTCCATAGCTCGCCCTCCGATATTGACGAAGTATGCTCGCATCATGGGAGATCATATTTCCAGAAATGGACTGCCAGAAGCTTTTAGACAACATACAGAAACAACAGGCAGAACTGAGGCTGATTTGAAGTTGCCGCGCAGTTAATGCCATTCTCGACATGTTGCAAAGCAAAAGCTGCATGTACTCTCCAAACGGTCCGTTTTGTTTTTCTTCCGGGCGAAATCCAATAACAGCAACTCAACACATCTTTGTCATTTGCAAAATTTTATTGCGCTCTGTGCTGATCAAGGCTGCGTCCATTGGAGCTGCCCTCCCACTGGCGGGAACGGACACGAGGAGGCCCCTGTGCAGGCCAGTCGTAGATGACGTCAGCTGACGCAGCTCTGGAAGGAACCCTTCGCATGTTTCCGATGTCAAATTTCGCACTGAGTTTCCAAACGCATGTGCGGGTTTCAAAATCGGTAGACACGGTGGTCCTCTTCTTTATTGATACGCGAATTCTTATGCCCTTGGCACCGCAGTTGTCCTTCAAATTTCAATTCGCCCTGCTCCATTGGGGTGGATGAGGAAACAGTGACATTTCCGACGGTGCTTTTCTGTCGTCCCTGCCGCGGCGAATATTTGAGCAACGTGACAAAGCTTGTTGCGCTGCATCCACACGGCAAAGTGGACGGCAGAGACATTGGCTTGCACGACATATCTAAATCTCCTAAAGAACCTCAATTTAAATAGTGATTTATTTTGGTGCGTGATCTGAACGTTGCACCGCAGCGTTCTCGCCAGGATGCAGCGAGACTGTGGTTGCCGAACTGGTATGTGAGTGTTGCTCGCGCCGCCGCGAAAAATGGTGACCTTGCTGAGGCATGTAGCTCGCTGCCGCAAGTGCAATATTTGCAGCAAGCTGTCGATTTGCTTGATGCTTTGCATATCTTCTGACACATAGGATGTATGGGTTTCATGAGCATGAGTCCTTCTGATGGATATAGTGGTTTGTTTGTTTATTTCTTTCTTAAATGGATGCATCGACATGATGTCACGGCATCGATAAATGTAGCCTACCAGCCAGTGTGCGAGGGGCACGTCCGGGCCCAACTACGTAACTGAAAACACGCCTCTAATGGCGGCCGCAGCTGCCATCGAACCCCTGGAAACTCCCCCACGAAAACAAGAGAAAATGTCTGCAAGCCAGAAATCAGAGTGATGGGCTATTCCTCGGTCACCTCCTTTGCTCGAATGCGGTCACTCACTGAGCTCAGAAAGCTCCCAATCGGCCGCAATGTTTCCAAACCAGATTGCGAAAATTCGATGTATCAATCCTTTCCGAATTTAGCCACTTCTCACGCAAAATGAACATAGTGGTGTCCATTCGTATTATGATGTGTAGGTGATTGATGCCCTAACACATTCCTTTTCCGCTGGAGACTTTTTAGCATTTACTTATCCAGAAAATCTACAAATTGCATGCGTTTGCTGAATATTTATAGATGCGCTTGGCGTTCTATTGACGAAGCTATGGGACAGATGTGTGGAGATACGCGATGCAAGATTAAAGAGCAAGCTCTTTCAGGCACTCAAGGGATCGAGTGCATTATGTTGAGTTAGAAAATCCGGTTAGCTTGTGAACGGTTTTGCCTCCTCATAACTTAATGTTTTCAGTCATATACGATTCGCACATGTGGCCACAAATACGATCTCTAGCAAATGCGACTAAAAGACAACTATAAACAAAGGGGCGATTTTCTCTCACGTAAACCAATTAGATCATTCTTAACGGGTTTCAAATGATGTGATGTATCGGATTGCATATGTGGATGAAATCAGCGCCACAGTCTATCACTTATCAAGCTATGTGCTGGAATCATTATAGCACACCACCATTGCTGATCATACTGGCGCACGCTTCAATTCAATGTTTCATTTCGCAGCATGCCTAAACACCCAACAGCGCGGCGAGGGCGATGGGGCGCGCTAGGCAAAGTGTTGAGGTTGTCTCTAACATACGACTTTCAGCATACAGTGAGCCGCTTGCACTCTTGAAGCCGGTAAAATCTACAGCTCGACTTTGCTTGACGAGCATTTCCACAACCAGTGCAGTGGCCATGAATGGCGCTCAGGCAACACCGCTCAGAATGCACACGCTGTAGGTATCATCATCACCATCAAGAATTCTTACGTATGAAGGCGAGCAGGCATCATGCTGTAGGTATCACGCCCGAAAGCGTGAGCCAAGCGCAAGAGATTGCCGCAAATATTGGGCAGCCCAGCCGGCTGAAAGAAGCCTCCCAGACTTCCTCGCTTGCATGATAACCGCGCAAATGAGGGAAGCGAGGAAAAGGCAATCACTGCATCCCCCCCGGCGTACAAATATGATTGGAACGGGCCGAGGGAATGAAACGCGGAGCCCTGAGCATAAGAATGCCAAGCATATCTGGGCCCCAGGGGCGCATACGCATCGGCAAATGTTCACACATGAAAACCCGCTTCTTTCCTATGCTATTGGCCAGCACCAACGAAAATCAGCGCCGCATCCCGCGGCTCAGTCGGAATCACCCAACGTCGCTGAAACCGTAGCAACCGAAGAACGCCACCGTCACCAAAGGCGTTCCCACTGCGGGCGACATCCCGGACGGGGCACCCGTTGGCAGCCCTGTTGAAGCCCCAGGGCACCGGTGCGTCAGTTGGGACGTTTGAATTTTAAACTTCGAAACCTCGGCCGAGGGGCGGTTCCGAACAACGCCTTCTGAAGGACCAACCGGGGCCCAACAGAATTCGTCTCCGGAGACTCGGCTGCCCCGTTGGCAGCCGTTGACCAGTCACAGACTCCACAGACTCCCGTCAGCCCCGAAGTTGCCGACTTCGAAAGTCGGGTGCAGGATAACTGGTCCGACGCTGAGGCGCCCGGCGGAGCATGGGATGAGGAGAAGAGGCGCCCGCCACTGGCGCCCCCGCGCCTGGGAATTTCAGAGGTGTCGATTGAGATGATGCAAAAGTCGCCTCGCGAGGATCGCATGCATGGGGCGGAGTTTTGCGATGTCGCGGATGCATGGTGGACGCCGGGAGGCGGCGCGGGTCAAGAGTTGGCGCATCGCCCATTTTGCTTCTGCCAGTAACTCTGTTTCTGCGAAAAGTGGTATAAGCTTCAGCGCTTTACACTGTTTTCTTGTACTAAGTTTTACCGGAAAGGTGTTCAGTGTGCATGATGCGAAACTTGAAATGCGTGCGTTAACTCTGATGAGTACATTACCTGTGCTGCTGCCATCACTCTCGCGTGAATGTGCGTTGCGGTGTTATTTCTGACGAACTTATTGAAAATGGGTATGCTTGAAATTTTTCGTCTGTGGTGCATGAACACTGATCCGCGGTGTTATTGCTGGATCGACTGTGCCAGTGCATTGCCGCCCGTTTCTTTGCAGCTGTGGGTTTTGTGTGTTAGTGGCGTGTGAAGCTTCGTGAGATTGTTCAGCGTGATGCCTGCTGCATGAATAGTAATACATGTCAAATGCATGGAGAACCAAGTTTCCGGGGAGCCCCAAAAGTGTACATAAATATCGTTCTGGTACATACCAAAAGGACGCTCAAATGCTTTGAACAATTATGCCCTCTCAGCTGCCTCTCTTTCGAGAATGTCCAGACTAGGCGAACGATTTTAACTGTCGTATCTTGCAAGCAAATACGTTGCACCTCATAATCGTTGTGAAAGCAAGGTGTCCGCGACATTCTGAACGCTGTTCTGTCATCGCTTCAGGCAGAACTGCGACATCCCGCTTCAAGCGGGATACGTAACTTGCATCATCACTCAAAATTTTGCCTTGACTGCAAGCGTACACAGCCAGTGGCGTTTGTTGCTCGAGACCGTTTTCTGCATGTAAGCGCGTTAAATCAATAGAATTGTTCGATTCTGTGTGCTTTATTGCAGGAAGTCGATTGATTAAGTAACCAAAGGCTAGCGCGGAAGCGCATTGGGTTGATTGCTGCTGAAGACATGACTTCGTCCCTGAGAAATTCATGCGTGAGGCTCCCGAAACTTCGCATGAAAGATGAGCTTCTCAAGGTGAGCGTGCCCCTGAAATCTGTAGTGTGCATGTATCTCAGTCGTCTCTTCACAAATGATGTAGCTAAGAAACGAAGGTGTTGACCTGGGCGCGGCAACCTGCTGCGCATGCAGGGTACCAAAGTGTATTATCACGTTTCAAAGCACGCGCTGTCTGCGACGCTCTAAAGACCTATCAATTGAGAAAGAAATGGAACAAAAGTGCGTCAAATGTTCATTTTATATTGCGAACATATCTTTCACGCCAAAATATCAGAGGACAACCAAAGCAATGTTCTGGTTCCTGGTGAGCGTATTTGATCATAGCCGAAAGGCGGTGACCATATTAAATATTTCGTAAATAACATGCTTGCCGCAATATCTTCACTGGTAAATGTGCACATATTCGGCTATTGCGAAACGGGTCCTTGCGGTGCATGCACAACCAGTCTTTCCGCGGCAACCTCCAACAACTCATTACTCTCGGCGACATACGCAATTTGCATGACGCAGATGAGAAATGGAAAAGAAAACACCGAACTCATTGTCGTCGAAATGGGATGAAATCGACGCATTGTTCTCGTACGTTGGGTGTCGACATAGCCCTCGGTGGATGGCACTCAGTTAATGTAATTTCACCATCACCATAACCATCGAAATATGATACATCGCACTGAATCAATGTTGTGGCGCTTCGAATGTCGGGCTCGTTGCCCACACGCAAGGAAGTGACAGCACCCGTTACAAAGCTCGTGAATGAATGCTGAATTCTGAATTTGTAACATGTAGCATTAGTAGCATTAGCAGTATATAATACGGATTCCGCCTGGAAAATAAGCCCGTTCCTTTCCTTTGCGCGCCCCGCTGGTCTGCAGACATGCCCCGAGCTGGCCAGGTTCATGGGCGAGGAGGCCCCCGGCCAGCTGTCCACGTCGTACCAGGGCCCACAGCAGAACTCCCGGTCCTGCGGCAGCCCTCGCATAAGATCCGCCGGCATGGACAGCGCCCGGCTGTTCGAGGACGAGATCAGCGTGGAGGAGGAGCGGCAGCTGGAGCTGGGGGACGTCAAGCGGGAGCGCCAGGTGCTCATGCAGTCCATCGCGCAGGTGAAGCAGGACGCGGGCACGGCCGGTGGAGAGGCGCAGCAGAATGACATCAAGCAGTTGGTGAAGGTGAGCCCGGCGCCACGGGCAGAAAACACCATGTATGAGATGCCAGTTGCGGTGCCATTTTCGGACCGATTCGCGTCATCATGGTGTTGCCTCAGAAATAGCTGCATTGGAATCAATTAGTGTCAAAAGGTATCGCAGTTAACATCGCACAATGTCGGTTGCACTGGTGCGCCTGCCGAGGTCATGGCTGCCAGGGAGCGGTGCTCACGCTCTGCCAAAAACACTGCTTTTTGAGATACTATCAATGGAAAAACGTAACAAGTTTAGTGCTCATTATGCTGTGTTATGTCGCTGTTTTAAGATAGGTGTTTCAAAGCAGATTCGGCAGCGTCTCATAAAGAATCTATTATAGAACAGGTTCAGGAAGCACGCGACTTGCCCTATCATTTACCGAGCAGCGCTGTTTGAGATTGCTGTGCGTTATGTGCGGCTGGTGCCCCCGCGTGTTGAGTGCGCGGCGCACAGTTTGGCCCGCCCCATGCGGGAAATCAGTATCATGGCGTCATCTGCGCCACACTAGGAAAAAAAGGGCCAAATAACACATGTTCAGACGTGTAAAAAGTTTACGGGTTTGTGTTATTTTTGTTTTCTTAGCGTGCAGAACTTTGATGAAATGTGTTTTATGTGTGTTCGCAAAAGTGTCATTTGGCCCCTTTTGTGCTAGTGTCAGAGGCACATTCGCCATTGGGAGGCAATGACCGCAGCGGCGCGGGTGAAGCCACTGAAATCGACAGCCCCTGGGCGATGCAAAGTATTTGAGTAGGAGATCGAAATTTTGCGAAATCTCAAGGCACCGACCCATGCCATAAATCCCTGTAGCGCTGCAGGAACTGGAGCTCAAGAAGCAGAAGCTGAACGAGCTCACCCAGGAGTCTCAGCAGAAAGAGAACCTGCTGGATCACCTGAAGAACACGAGCGTGGACTGCAAGAAGATGATGACGTCAGATTCATCGGCAGAGATCGCGTACATTCAGCACCTCAAGAGCGAAATGAAGCTACTGGACGACGAGCTCGTGGAGGCGGAGGCCAAGAACAGGCTGTACTACCTGCTTGGGGAACGCACGCGGTGCGACACGGGGCGCCCTGAACGGGGGGCCTCATCATCCCTGCGTCCATTGCCGTTTGGAAAACCAAACCGCCTTGATGTTTGCGGCGTAAACACAGCGTGTTTTTGCGTAGTTTTACGTAAAAGACGCCTCAATATACGTAAACGCTGACGGCGTGTACGCCGTAAATAACCACTCTGTCGCCAACTCCGTGTGTTTCGGGCAATGCCAGCCTGTTATTCTTGGCTCGGCGAATTGGTGAATTCGTGCTTCACTGGTCCCCATGGAGTCAAGATGGGGCCAGTTGCGTCCATCTGGATACATACCTCAGCAACTCTCTCCAGCTAGCAGACCTGCTTCCTTCGCCTCTATTTTCGACTCTGCACGGACTGCTACAGGCGCGCGTGTTGTATACGAGCCGCATGAGCAAACCATCTGGCCCCATCATCACCCAGATAGGTCATTTTGTGCGCCCATAAAATGCGCTTGAATTATGCATGATTTCGAGTTTTGTAATTTCTCCCGCAGCCTGAAAACAAGTATGATACAAATTGATCCAAAGGCGGTATGATTTTTGGAAAGGTTTTTGAAAAAAATCTGCCAGAACTTTCCGAAAGAAAAATCTAATTTCTGCACACGAGGCGGCGAGAATTCTTGCAGTATATGCTTCTGGAATACCGGCGCTCTCGAAATGTGCATCTACCACACCTACTCAAAGTGCGAGCCAATATGCCCACTAGCCTGCTATTCTCTTAAAAATTCTGAAGATTTGTACAGGGCAAAAATGTGGAACGGATGCCTCACATTAATATTTGGTGACCTGATTTATAGCCCCACTTGCGGTGGCGAGAGCCCCCTCATGCATGGAAAAAGAGTGGCATCCCGCCAGCGCAGCAGCCGAAGGGCAACTTTTACTGCCTGCAGGAGAGACCACCTGACCATGGAGAAAAGGGTTCGGGGGGCCCGTGCCATGAAAAAGGACAGCAAGGACGATATCGCCACCCTCACGCAACACATGCACGACACCCTTGCGGCAAGGGAAGAAACGGAGCGGCAGCTCGTGAAGATGAGGAAGATGTGCGATGAGGTACACTGCCTGAAACATGGGCGGAAAGGACCCCATGGAAAACTGGAGGAACGGCAATGACGGACGGCGATGAAGCCCTTGCAGAATTTTTAGTGACTCTAGAAAACGACCCTGACAATTCATGTGAAAATACAAGCCCCCATTTGTTCTCCCTTATTGTCGGGAAAAGGAACAGCAATGTTTGTTTATTGCTTGGAGACAGCCGTCAATGTAGAAAGCAGACGCGTTGGCGGCCATTTCGAAAGTTTTTGGCAAATTCAAAGCGACTGTATGCCCAACAGCAGGCGGATGTCCATAAGTCAACAACTTTTGTGGTCTTCAGCGGAAACAGTGCCGCATTTAGGACGGGTTGCCTAGTCGTTGAGGAATGAGCGAATGCCCGCGTTCAGTGCAACTCGACATGCCGATCAGGGAAGGAGGGACTGGCAGAAGAAACTGAAGGACCGCCGAAAGGAGGTCCGCAATTTGAAGCGGCGCCAGGCCAAGGAGAAGGAGAGAGAACTGCGCAGCCGCAAGAAGGCGGCCGACAGGCGAAGAGCCGAAAAGGAGATGCAAGCAAAGATGCAGATGGAGAGAGAGGCGTACGAAATGCAAATCCAGGCGCTTCAGCCCAAGATCGAAGCAATGGAGGCGTCTTGGAATCGCCTTCAGACGATCAGCGGAGCGGACACCCCGGATGACGTGATCGCCTACTGGGAAGGCAAGTGCCGGCGGGGCACAGCGAATACACCAGTAGAAAACAGCCTGTTTGCGATGCCAATTGCGATGCCATTTGACACAAATTGATGCCACCGCAGCCGCTTTTATGCCATCGCAATCACTGTGACGGCATCGTTTTGTGTCAAAATGGCATCGCAGTTGGCATCGCCAACATGCCGTTTTCTCCCAGTGATATTTCCCCCCCGGGGGCATTCGCGAGTGATTTGATCATGTAGGTGAATTTGGTCATGCGGTCCGAACCACATGATTAGATTCACCCATGCGACAGGGAATTCATTGAAATTTATCGTGTATATAGTTTATCGCGTAGTATACAGGTTTCCCTACCTGGTTTGTGGTCGGCGCCAAAATCAATTGCCTGCCCGCGTTTTCTACATCCGCGGCAACTCCGCCGCCTCGGTGAACGTTGAGAAAGCACCTCTTGCGAGCCGAGGTGCGTGTCTGCGCACAACAGGATTGATAGAAATCTCAACAGGAGAAAAACGTAGTGGATTACACCTTTCTGCGAGTCCCCAAATTCAACACGCTCAAGCAGTTGGTTCCCTTTGTGATGGTTTAAGCGCAAGCGCGTCAGCATCAATCTGCATAACGTCCTTGCAAATGCCAAAATAACAATCGATAGTATCTAGCAGATCAAAAACGTTACGAAATTGTCCAGGAGTACGGAATGGACAATAGCGAAATCAGTTTTGATCGTGTCGAAAGTCTTGCGCTTCTCTTTGTGACGAATGCACCCATATAAAGCACGCAACGGTGCGTGCATAATCAGAAATACAATCAACAGCAACTAAATGCAACCAAAATGGCTTCGTTTCTGCTTTCGCGGGGAACCTGTGCGGATCTACACAGGTGGGCAAGCTGCCGAGGGCTGCTGACGCAATGCTGTTTTCCGCGACGCAGGCCTGAAAGCGAAGGAGGAAAACATGCGGGAGCTTGTCAAGCTGGCAGAGAAAAGGGAGGCGAGGGCGAAGG